TATATATATATATATATATATATATATATGTATGTATACACACACACACACACACACATATATGATATTTCAGTGCATATGGTGTGTATAACACTGAAACTAGACTTCTTTGAATTTTGTTTTCTGTCCATGGAGTGTATGTGTTTTTTTCTCTTCAAAATGAAAAATTAAGAGAGATTAATCCAGAAGTGATTAAAAGAAATACTAGCTGTAGACTTGAGTGATACATTACCTGCAGCCTTCCCTTCGAAAATCTTTGTGATATTTAGTACTGAAGTAACAAAATAGGTGTTTTGTATGAAAAACAGCCTTTTACTATTACAGTTTAGTGTTAGTAGTAGTAAATGATAGTGAAAGTGAATTTATATTCTAGAAAGAAAATCAATATATTGCTATTGAGATATTTAATTGGTAAGAGTTCTGTAATATTTTCAGTTAACAGTGTTCTTTTATAAAATTTTTTGTCTTTACTTTGCAAGCCTTTCAAATTATAGAGATTTACAAGTGCTTCTTGTGTGCCAAGCACGACTGTTAGGTGCCATTGGATTGATTCTGACATAGCAACTCTGTGCAAAACAGAATGAAACAGCCTGGTTCTGCACCATCCTCACCATTGTTGCCATACATGACCCCATCGCTGCAGCTACTGTTTCAGTCCATCTTAGTGAGGATCTTCCCATTTTCACTGACTCTCCACTTTATCAAGCAGATAAATAAAGTAAATGTTACTTTAGGCAAGGTTAACTGGTCCCTATTGATAACATAACCAAAATACGAGAGACTAAGTCTGGCTGTTCTGGCTTTGAAGGAGCATTCTGGCTGTACTTCCTACAAGACAAATGTGTTCATTCTTCTAACAGTCCATGGTGCATTCAGTATTCTTTGCCAACACCACAATTCAAATGAATCTGTTCTACTTTGATCTTACTTATTCATTGTCCAGCTTTCACGTGCATATGAGGCTACTGAAAATCCCATGGTGTGGGTTAGGTGCACCTTAGTCTTCAAAGTGACATCTTTGCTCTTTTACACTTTAAAGATGCCTTTTGCAGCAGATTTGCCCAATGCAATACGTCATTTGATTTCTTTACTGCTGCATCCATGGACATTGTGGATCCAAGTAAAATGAAATCCTTGACAACTTCAATCTTTTCTCCATTTTTCATGATGTTGCATATTGGTTCAGTTGTGAGGATTTTTGTTTTCTTTACGCCAAGGTATAATCCATATGGAAGTCTGTAGTCTTTGATCTTCATCAGTAAGGGCTTCAAGTTTTCATTTACAGCAAGCAAGGTTGTGTCATCTGCATATCGTAAGTTGTTTATGAGTCTTCCTCCAATCCTAATGCCATGTTCTTCATCATGTAGTCCAGCTTCTTGGACTATTCACTCAGAATACAGATTGAATAAGTATGGTGAAAGGACACAACCCTGATGCACACCTTTCCTAACTTTTAACCATGCAGTATTCCTTTGTTCTGTTTGAATAACAGCCTCGTGGTCTATGGACAGGTTACTCATGAGCACAATTAAGTGTTGTGGAATTCTCATTCTTTGCAATGTTATCTATAATTTGTTTTGATCCACACAGTCAAATGCCTTTGCATAGTCAATAAAACACAGGTAAACATCTTTCTGGTATTCTTTGCTTTTAGCCAAGATTCATCTTACATGGATCCATCTTGCATCAGCAGTAATGTCCTTTGTTCCATGTCCTCTTCAGAATCTGGCTTGAATTTCTGGCAGTTCCCTGTCAATATACTGCTGCAATAGTTTCTGAATTATCTTCAGCAAAATTTTACTTGTGTGTGATATCAGTGACATTTTCTGATAATTCTGTATTCTGTTGGGTCAGCTTTCTTTGGGATGAGCACAGGTATGGATCTCTTCCAGTTGCTTGCCCAGGTAACTCTCTTCCAAATTTCTTGGCATAAATAAGTGAGCGCCTCCAGTGTTGCATCCATTTGTTGAAACATCAATGAGTATTCTGTCAGTTCCTGGAGCACCTTGTTTTCTACCAATTCCTTCAGTGCAGCTTAGGTTTATTCATTCAGTACCATTGGATCTTGATCATTTGTTATCTCCTGAAATGGTTGAACTTTGGCCAATTCTTTTGATACAGTGACTCTGTGTATTCCTCCATCTTTTTTGATGCTTCCTGCATCGTTCATTATTTTGCCCATAGAATCCTATAGCATTGGAGCTTGAGGCTTGAATGTTTTCTTCAGTTCTTTCAGCTTGAGAAATGTCAAGTATGTTCTTCCCCTTTGATTTTTCCAAGTCTTTGCACACTCGAATATACTATTTTACTTTGTCTTCTCAAGTCGCCCTTTGAAATCTTCTGTTCAGGTCTTTTATTTTATCATTTCCTTCAGCTACTCTTTGTCCAAGAGCAACTTTCAGAGTCTCTTCTGATGACCATTTGGGAACAGACAAGTGTGGTATGACATCAAGGACATTGTACAGGAAGAAAAGTAAAACATCATTAAAAAGGCAGAAAAGGAAGAGAAGACCAAAATGCATGCCAGAAGAGACTCTGAAATTTGCTCTTGAATGTAGTGCCAAGCACTTTGGGACAGTGTTTAGGTGCATTTTTGTCCCAACAACAACCCCACCAGGTAAAAACTATTAAAACTCCCAACTGTCGAGGAGCCGTCCCAGATTGAGTGATGTTTAAGACTTGCTCAATCTCCCACAACTAATGCATGGCAGGGCTGGGATTCCACTTCAGGCACATGCGCCCCAGAATGGACTGGAGCAGTGCTCAAATGTGTATTTTTGTTGATGGTGATATGTCCCTGGCAGGAAGCAAAATTAGGGTTGTACCTTAAGATATATTGTCGGTATAGACTTACTCAGGCAGGGATATTCAAAGAAGAAGCATTAACAAAGGAAACTGAGCATCACACTAGAAGAAAGGGAGGGGAGGGAGAAGGGAGAGAGGAAGAAAGGCAATGTTAAGAGGGATAAAGATTTTATTATTGTTCTTGGCTGTGGCACCAAACGTCTTGTCAGTACATTGTTGTGTTATGTCTTGAAAATAGTTTCTGTCCCAGAATACACTCCTGGCTGTGACTGAAGGAATATGATCATAAAGCCCACCAGGGAAACAAAATCGTGTGTGAACAAAAGTCCCTAGTACCATCTTTGACTTAATGTTTGGTGGCAGAGTAGTATAAAAGTTCTCACTTAAGACCCATACCTACCACGGTTACTGAACAAGGTCAGTATGATCCGTATGACTGGGCCATTTCAAAACAGGTATATCTGATTCCCACCACTCGTGTGTCAGTCTGTCATACTGTGGTGGCTTGCATGTTGCTGTGAGGCTGGAGGCTATGCCACCAGAATTTCAAATACCAGCAATGTCAACCATGGTGGACAGTTTTCAGTGGAGCTCCCAGCCTAAGACAGACTCAGAAGAAGGAAGTGACCATCCACTTCTCAAAGTACTGGCTGGTGAAAATCTTATGAATAGCAGTGAAACACTGATATATTACTAGAAAATTTTATAAACAGTGTAGAAACATTGTCTGATATAGTGCCATAAAATGAGCCCCTCAGGTCAGAAGGCACTCAAACTACAACTGGGGAAGAGCTGCCTCCTCAAAGTAGAGTCGACCTTAACGAAGTGGATGGAGAAAAGCTTTTGGGACCTCCACGTGACGTGATTCAAAATGGGAAGAAACAGCTGTAAACATCCATTAATAACATGGAATGTACAAAGTATGAATCTAGGAAAATTGGAAGTTGTCAAAAATGAAATGGAACACATAAAGATCAATATTCTAGGCATTAAACCAAACCAAACTCACTGCTGTTGAGTTGATTCCAACTTACAGTGACCCCCTCCTTGGGTTTCCGAGGTGTTATCTCTACAGAAGTAGATAGCCCAGTCTTCCTTCTGAGGAGTGGCTGGTGGGTTTGAACCACCAGCCTTCTGGTTAGCGTCAAATGCCTGAGGCACTATGCCACCAGAACTCCTAGGCATTAGTGAGCTGAAATGAACTGATTTTGGCCATTTTGAATCAGACAATCATATGATCTATACTGGGCATGACAAATTGAAGAGGAATGGTGTGGCATTCATTGTCACAAAGAGTGTTTCAAGATCAAGTACAGTATTTGCTGTCAGTGACAGGAAAATATCCATATGCCTACAAGGAATACCAGTTAATACTACTACTATTCAAATTTATGCACTGACCACCAAAGCCAAAGATGAGGAATTTGAAAATTTTTATCAACTTCTGCAGTCTGAAATTGACCAAACATACAATCAAGGTGTAGTGATTGGAATGCAAAAGTTGGAAACAAAGAAGAATCACCAGTAGCTGGAAAATATGGCCTTGGTGATAGAGATGATGCCAAAGATAGCATGATAGAATTTAACAAGACCAGCGACTTATTCATTGCAAATACTGTTTTATCAACTACATAAATGACAGTTATACATGTGGACTTCACCAGGTAATATACAGGAATCAAATCAACTACGTCTGTGAAAGGAGCTCTGGTAGCATAGTGCCTAAGGCACGTGACTGCTAAGCAGAAGGCTGGCAGTTCAAACCCACCAGCCACTCCTCGGAAGGAAGGTTGGGCAATTTACTTCTGTAGTGATACTGCCTCGGAAACCCAAGGAGGGGTCGCTATGAGTTGGGTCCAACTCAATGGCACATAACAAC